GAGAACTGATGGGACAGCTTCTTGACGGGTCAGGGTTCGCCTAAGAGAACGAAAGCAGGGATTCGATTCGGGAAAGAAGAGGAATGCTTGGCCTTGGGCAGAAGGAAAAGAGAAAGTAGCTACAAAAACAGAAGACCACAGAAATATTTTGAGGTGGAAAAGATGGAAGTTAATGAAGCAACCTAGACATCGTCAGCTCAGTAGAAGATGAGGTAGCTTGTGGACCATCAGAGCCACGTCAGGGGCTCTCGGAGAGTGGATTTTGTTTAACCTCATGTAGACTTGACAGGTGCCAGCACGAGATGGATATAAATGACTGAGTAGCATCGGGAGCATGGGCTTTTTGGAAAGCCTCACCCTCTCCCATGCCACGACCCCACCCATAATCTACCCCTGTGTGGCCACAGAGGAGGTTCAGGACAAACGCAAGTAGATCAACACAAGTCCTGTCCCCACTGTGGAGAGTGAAAAGCACCCGCCTTTCTGATAACTGCTGATGTTGGGGGGTGGGGGGCTGGTGCGTCTGCTTGCCTTATCTCATTTCATCCTCACACCAACCACATGAGGAAGGTCCTCTGTTAGCTTCCTCAGCGATCTCAATGCGTCCTAGGTCACACCACCAGAGTCACTCTTCAGTTTAGGTCTGCCCAGTTTGGGAGGCCATTCTCTTCATCCTTGTCATTTAGGACAGGATCTTAGACAAGGTCAGGAATCAGATGGCGTCCAGCCAGATTGAAGGCCAGGCGGGCGACCCCGTGGCTTGTTCTGACATGCACCTGGCACCTGACTTCAGGACGTTGCCTCTTGCTCTAAGGCACACCCCCAGCCTCGTCAAGCTGCGCCTTTTCTCAGGTTCCTTCGTATCACTTCCAAAGTGAAAATTAAAACAAAAAAAGCAACTGTTAGAAGTCATCAGAGCATGTGTATTTCTCTCCTCAGAGCAAGAAGAAGAAAAATAACCTTTGGTGTCTAGGCTCGTGCGGCAGAAAGCTGCCGACCATGGCCCCCACGTTTTAGGCTCTCCCTACATCTGTCAGTGCCCATCAGCAATTTGGGAGCAGGAGGTGTGGCTCAGTGGCCAAACGCTTGAGCTCTGTGACCTGAAATACAATTTTAACAGCTGCAGAAGGAAACAATATCTAGGTGAAAACAGCTGCGGAACTAGGAGAAAGGATGAAAATCTGCTGGAAGGCCTCCAGAAAAAGCATGTTGTAGGCACATGACCGGCCAGTGATTTATTTTAGTTCGTTATTATTTTTCTTAAATGCTTTTTTTTTAATTTTTGGGAGAAAGGAGGTGGGGGAGACAGAGAGAAAGAGAGAGAGAGAGAGAATCTTAGGCAGGCTTCAAAATCAAGAATTGGAAACATAACCGACTGAAGCCACCTAGGGGTCCCCTGGCTGGTGATTTATTAAAGCTTGATGGGATGACAGCTAGTTTATATGATGAAGTTTGAAGGAGTGCTAGATGTGTAAAATATGCTATTTTTTGCTGTAGTTAATGTTACTACTAGACATGATGATGGCAGCTGCAGCAAAAACATGCTTGGACCCAGTTTGCTGTTCTTTCTGGCCAAATTGCTCGTTTCTCAGATCTTTGTGGGGCCGGCTCCTCTGGTCATTCTGGGTTCAGCTTTTCTGTCACCTCTTCAGAGATGATTTTCAGTCACACCACAATAGAATTATATTTTCTATTCGTTATAATACTGTTTTCCTGTTGATTTGGTACTTTGTTCGTCTCTCTCTTCCCCCAGAATGTAAATGTCCTGTGAAAAAGGTCTTGTCTGCTTCATTCGGTGTTTCCCCTCTAGAACCCAGAGCTTTGTCACATAATAGATGCTCAAGAAATAAACGCTTTCTGAATAAGTCATGAACAAGCTCATTTGATCTTTAATAATTAAAGATTATAACTTATTTTAATTTTTAAATTTAATTAAAATTAAGAAATATTATAAAAGCAGTGCTTATTTGCTGTAAAAAATAGGTAAGAAAAGAAAAAAAACACAAAAAAAGAAAAAATTTTTAATTCATCCACAATCTTGCACCCAGGTAATTACTAACATCTTGTTGATCACCCTTGGTAACCTTTGATGATAGACAAAGAAATATTTTTAAATAGTTAACTATTTATTTAAATATAATATCATAAATATTAAATATTTAAAATAACTTCTTACATGCTGTTTCATTATATTTCACATAATATATTGTTTGGATGTTTTTACATCGGTGTTTGTCTATATAACATTGAAAATCTATATAATATTTCTTTTTTAAAAAGATTTTTAATGTTTATTTACTTTTTGAGAGAGAGAGAGAGAGAGAGAGAGAGAGAGAGAGAATGAGTGGGGGAGGGGCAGTGAGAGAGACCCAGAATTTGAAGCAGGCCCCAGGCTCCAAGCTGTCATCACAGAGCCTGACGCTGGGCTCAGACCCATAGAATCTGAGGTCATGACCTGAGCCGAAGTCGGACGCTTAACTGACTGAGCCACCAGGCGCCCAAAAGGCTGTATGATATTTCTATGATGTGAAAAGACACATCGTGACTTACTGAATGGAGGGGAGGGGATGGCGGTGGGAAGAAAGGGGGTCACAAGGTACAGACTTCCAGGAACAAGATAAATAAGCTACAGGACTGTAGCGGACACGGCTGAGTGATGTGAATGGAAGTTGTGAAGACAGTAGATCCTAAGGGTTTTCACCACGAGGAAAGAATTTATTTTCATTCTTTTATTTCAATCTACGTGAGCTGGCGCTGCTCCCTGAACTTACTGTGGGAACCGGTTCACAACATACGTAAGTCAAACCCGGTGCTGTGTACCCTGAACTTAGGCAGCACATGTATCAATTATATCTCAGTAACACTGGAAAACAAACAAATAAAATAACTCACTGACAAAGCCCTAACTTTAGATTTTGAATTTCTCACTCTCCTTCCCTCTCTTTTTGTTTCCTTCCTTCCTTCTTTCTTAAATCAGTGTATCAGCAGCCGTGCAACGAACATCCTTTTACGTAGGTCTTTGGGCACTTACCTGATTCTTATATTAGAACAAATGCCTAGGGGCGCCTGGGTGGCTCAGTCATTAACCTTCAACTCTTGATTTCGGCTCTGGTCATGATCTCAGGGTTCGTGGGATCAAGTCCCACCTCAGGCTCTGTGTTGATGGTGTGGAGCCTGCTTGGGATGGTCTCTCTCCCTCTTTCTCTGCCCCTCCCCCACCGGCTCTCTTTCTCTTACTCAAAATAAATAAATGAACATTAAAGAAAGAATAAATGCCTAAAAGTTCATTTAAGGATCTTATTCCCGTTTCTGTTATTTTCGTTGCATTTTTGCTCCTCTGCTAAACTGTCTTCAATATTTTTAATAATGTATAGGGTGACTGTTTGGAGTTGGGGCAGGGGATTGGCTACATTTAGCCACTAGGTAGCTATGTGACCTGGGGCAAGTTACTTAGGTCTTATTTGCCTTTATACAAACAAAATTGTGATCATTACTTTATAGGCCCGTTATTAGCAACAAGTGAGTTGAGTAGTAAAATATGTACCACAGAGTCTGGCACTTAGCGAACATTTGATAAAGGAGAATTATTATAATTCACAAAAAGTTTAAATGCTTACACAGTCATATTTATTTTTCCATTAACCACAGGTCTCATGCTTAGGAATTACCTTAAGGTTATAAGAATATACGGCTATATTTTCTTCTGGAAAATTCCAGAACCTCTATGTTTTTGTATTTTTTTAATGTTTTTGTATTTTTTTAATGTTTTTGTCTTTTACATGTAAAATATAAATGGAATAAATATATATGGGATGTATTTTGCTGTTTATTATGAAGCCATCAACTGATTAAATACTTTTTCCTTAAATGGTTAATCAGTTTTCTCAACACTTAATGAATTTGGGTTGCTACTTTTATTATATACAAAATTCCCACACACACATGAACTCATTCTTGCCTTTTCTCTTTTGTTTCATGGATGTGTCTAATTCATTCTGCATGGACTCCTGTTCTGTTTTATATATTGCAGCTTTAGAATGTGTGTTAATATCCAACAGAAGAAAAAATGCTGGCTTATAATGATATTTTGCAAAGTTTCTAAGATACTCTTGTATATTGGTATTTTTACATTAACACTAAACTTGGCAAACTGATGCTTAAAATAATCATGGATGCATTAAAAAATAATAGCATTAAAATGATTTAATTTGACAGAGAATATCTTTTATGGTACCATATTCCCATGCAGAAAACATAGGAGATCGCTTTGTTCATGTTCTTCAAAAACAAGTACCTAAGAAAAACCTTATAGTTATCAGTTATCTTACTATTAATGGTGAATATTGCTTGTTAAGTTTACTTCTAGGTATTTCACAATTTTTGCTCTTGCGAATGCTATCTCTTTGACCATTGTGTCACTGCTCTTATATAGAAATTTATTTATTTTTTAGAAATTGCTATTGTCACAAGCCACTTTACTGAACTTACCTGCTCTTAAAATTTTAAACGGATTTTCGGTGTCAACTATACTTCAACTTAAAAAACTTAAGAGCTGATTTTGTTGTATTTTTTTGAGGAGATAATCATTATTTTTGCAAATACAATGACTCAGTCCTAATATATCTAATATTCATAACTCATTTTTTCTTATTTTTTAGGACATTGGTGAAAACATTTAGGACACATTTAATAACAGCAACGACGACAGAGCTGTCGTGCTTTCTGTCTTTGTCGATGACTTCCAGTCTGCAGGTGACGGGCCATATTGGGTCTGTTTCCAGCACTGCCTGCCTTTAACACTTTAACATGTTTAACCATGTTCTTTACACGTCCTCTCAGCAAAAACAGAACAGTAGCTCATCAGTTCCTTCTCTGCATAGACAGTACTTTTCTCAGTGACGAGCAGCTATTTCACTCAAAAATTGTATGTGTTCTAGATTTTCCAGTGGCTGATTGTAAGGGCAAACACAGTCTGTTTCATTTATGTTGTTTTCTGTTACCTTTGCAGAGGAAAGGCTGATGACATGTTGCTCCTTCTCATTGGTTACAATCTCGGTGATGCTGAACATGTGCCCCACAAGCTTCCCCACCGGCTTAGTGCTGATGTTAGGATGCCACAACCGAAGCACCTTGTCATCTCCTAAGAAGGAGGGCATGGGGAGGTTATTTGTTTTCTCAGGGATACAGACGGCTGTATGGACAGCTGGTCAAAGTTCAAAAAGTTCCTCTCACTCAATCATATCCTTATCATCCTTCGAATACAGATCACAGTCTGCTTCTTCCAGGATGCCGTCTATGATTGACTTGCTAAGAGGCAAGGCTTGCTTTGGAGCCACTTCCTCCTGTCTAGGCTGTTCTGCAATAATTGTATTTACACACACGAATGTGGATTCTTATAAATATTTTATGAGTTCTTTTCTTGATTCAGTACTTTCCCACTCACTCACGCATTAATGTATTATTTATACTTTATTTACTTCCCCAAGTATTTTAGACAGATGTTCTTTTGTTTTCACATTGAGAGGAAGCGGAAAATTGCACATAATCTCTACCATTATAACAAATCAACTGTTTTTCCTGTCTCTGTCTTCCCTGCTAGCACATATCCATAAGCATCTATAATTCACACATAGTTACTATCATAGCACACATACTATTTTTTTAATTGTTAAAATCATATGTGCACATGGTAAAAGATTTAAACAATATGGACGGGCATAATTTTGTCAAAAATGTCTTCTTTTCCTTCAGAATCCCTGCTTCCACTACCTATAGGTAATCACTGTTAACTGTTTATTCCCCTTTCTTACAAATAAACTTTGTGTTTTCAGAGTTAAGGAAAATGCTTTTCCATTCAGATTGAAATGCCTTGAATTATTTTCAGTAGGGTTTTTTTTTTAATGTCCTTATTTTATTTTGAGAGACAGAGACAGAGAGCGAGCGGGGGAGGGGCAAAGAGAGAGGGAGACAGAATCCGAAGCAGGCTCCAGGCTCCGAGCTGTCAGCATAGAGCCCAACGCGGGGCTCAAACTCACGGACTGTGAGATCGTGACCTGAGCCGAAGTCAGATGCTTAACCAACGGAGCCACCCAGGCACCCCTTCAGTAGGTATCTAGATTACCATTTCTCAGCAACAAAAAAAATCACTATTACTAACTTTTATCTTTGACATACACATTTAAAAATATAATATAAATGTTGCCAAAATAGAAAAATCACTGTTTTCTAAAATCTATTTTTATCAAGAAAACACAGCATGCTAACTTGAATTCAAAGAGAGAGAGACCAAATCAAAGTTTTGTGGAAGGGATGTGTCACTTTGTTATTATATGTGGGGATTGCAGGGCAAGTTGCTTTCTGTTTTTTCCAGCATTATTGAAATATAATTGACATACAACATTGTGTGAGTTTCAGGTATGCAACATGATTATTTGATTTAAGTGTATATTGCAAAGTGATTACTACAGTAAGGTTAGTTACCACATGGCCGCCTCACAGTGACCCTTTTTTCTTGTGAGAACTTTCAAGATTTGCTATCTTCATAACTTTCAGTTATACAATACTGTTAACTATAGTCACAGTGTATACATTACATCCCCAGAACTTACTCATTTTATAACTGGAGATTTGTACTCTTGTGTAAAATGCAAATTTTATATGTTCAATATAACTAAAATAATAAAATATTTTTAATATATATGTCCACCATTTTTTTTTTGCATTTATGGAAGAGCACAGTCTCACACCTTCATAATTATCATTTCGGCTGCTACATCATAATTTCTTAACATTTCTATCAATAAATGTTCCTGCTAATTCTAGTGTTTCACTTTATTCAGCAACTTATGTATTATTTCTTTTTTTGGACATATATATTGAGGATAAATGCCCATATGTTTAGGTTGCTTTCCAAGATGGTGGTACCAAATTCCAAGGCCATCAACTATGTATGATTATACTAGTTTCATCAAACTCAGGTCCGCAAATGGATTTTATCAGGATTTTAAAATATTTGCTATTTTAATGTCTAAAATGACACTCTGTTTTTATTTAATTTACATGATGGTTGATGCTGCTGAGTATTTTCTCCCATGGATATCTGCTAATTGTAGCTCCTCCTGTGGATTATGTGATCATATCCTTTATCCATGGTCTATTAGAATCTTGATGATATTAAAAATTAAAATTTAGTAAAATTTTATTATCATGTATATACACATATGGGTACACAGCTAGACTACATTTCCCAGACTCCCTAGCAGTTAGGTGTGGTCAGATTGCTGGCTTTTAGCCAGTGAACTAAGAGAACTGATTTCAGATTTAACATGACTACTAAGAGAAATACATTTCCATTTTGCTTGAGTCATTATATATTTTGGGATTTATTTGTTATGGCATCATTTGATCTATGCAGAGTTGTATTCTAATTATTTTTTTAAAAAAGTAACCATGAGGGGTGTCTGGGTGGCTTAGTCGGTTAAGTATCCAACTTTCACCTAGGTCATGATCTCACGGTTCGTGGGTTTGAGCCCAACGTCGGGCTCTGTGCTGACTGCCAGTTCAGAGCCTGGAGCCTGTTTCAGTCTGTGACTCCCTCTCTCTCTGACCCTCCCCTGCTCACGCTGTCTCTCACTCTCTCCTAGAAATAAATAAAAATATAAAAAAAATAAAAATAATAAAAAAGTAACCATGTATAATAGTTTACAAAATACAGAATATTTTTATTTTATTAAGTTTATTTATTTTGTGTTTGTGTGAGAGAGAGAGGAGAGAGAGAGAGAGAGAGAGAGAGAATGCGGGAGGGGCAAAGAGAAACAGAGACAGAGAATCCCCAGCAGGCTCTGTGCTGAGAGTGCAGAGCCCAGTGCAGGGCTCGAACTCATGAACTGCACATCATGGCCTGAGCCGAAATGAAGAGTTGGACCCTTAACCAACTGAGCCACCCAGGTGCCCTCAAAATACAGAATATTTTAAAGATATTGGATACTCTATTTCACAAATAATTAAAAGTCATTCTGAGTCATAAAATCATCAACTTCAAGTTGGGACCCTAGAGTACAAAAGAAACTAACTCCTACGGATTAGGTAATGTTTAATTAAATGATTTAGTTACTTTACTTTAATGATTTAAATGTGATTTGTCCACAATCAGAAATGGTATCAGAAAATGGTATCACATTAGGAATATTACGGCACATTCGTGAGCATCTTGTTTATTACTAAGGACCTTCAGGGAACTAGAAAAATAAGATTGTATGAAAGCATTATAACCTAAGTTATAATTTATAAATAACCTAAGTTATATAAGTTACAACTTATGTATTAAAAAATCTAGAATTCAAAGTGGCCATGTTAGCTAATCAGGTAGCATATATTTGGTGACCTACAGGATGAATTTGCTGATATATTTTGGACTTTTTTTGGAAATATACTTATCCACACTGAAAGAGCCAGTTGGTTATGGAGGAGAATGAGGTGACTTACCAGTTGGATATTCATAGGCCAGGGAAATGGGGTAGACACAAATGGTTTCATAATTCTATGATTAGTTTGTTGGGCTCCATTAAAAAAAAGTAACATAGTATTTTCTTTCTCACCTTTGAGTATTCTAATCCATTCTCCAAATCTTAGCATAGCTTTATCTCCAAGAATATTTCAGAATGTCTTTATATTCTTTAAAACCAAATGCTCCTGTGTATGTGCCCCCTGCCCCAGCATTTTTTGTAACTGATTATTCACTTTTCTCTACCATCCATTTGAGGGCAGAACTTTTTCTTTTTTATTATAGTATCTCAAGTGTATAATTGACAGTGGGAGTTCAAATATTTATTGAACAACTTCCACAACTTCAACCTCAGGATGCTGAATACTGGCTCAGAAGTTTAACTACCAAGTGGCACAGAGCAGGAAAACACGTATCCAAACAAAAATAAATCTTGATCGAATGTTCGCCTGACTCCTTCCATTCCAGAAGTCCTTGGGTCCTGGAGTCTTAGTAGAAACAGGCTGAAAAATCTCAAGGCACAGCTGACTCTTACTTTCTGTTTCTAAGGCAACTGGTATGGATTGAATTGCGTTTCCCCAGAGTTCTTGTGGTGAAGTCTTGACCCTTGGTGTGATGGTATTTGGAAATGGGGTCTTGGGAGATAATTAGGTTAAAATGAAGTTTTGAGAGTTGGGCCCTTAAGGGTGGGATTACTGTCCTTATAAGAAGAGAAAGCTCACTCGCATGCTCACAGGATATAGGGAGGAAACAGTCATGTGCTGGCCAGCAAGACAGCTCTCATTAGACACTGACCATGCTGACACTTTGATCTTGGACTTCCAACCTCTAAAACTGAGAAAATAAATTTCTGTTGTTTAAACCATCGGCCTATAGTATTTTGTGATGGTAGCCTAAGCTGAGCAAGACAGTAACCAAGATATTTTAAGTGGGTAAGGGGGACATTTTCTTAAAGATTAAAACTTCCATGTTACTCTTATTAACAAGAAGAAAAGTATCCCGAGAAATTACTGCATGCTTGGCATTTTGTTAGATGTTGAAGGTACAAAAACTTCTAGATACTGACCCTACTGAAAGTCTTCTTTTTCAGAAGACCAAGACTTATACCTTCTCGAACTTAGTTCCAACATTTCCTCCCTAAAGCTGCCCTTGATCACTGTCCCCAGCCTCAGATGGAGTTAGGACTTCTTCTTCCCCATTCTTAGGCTGTTTTCATCTGGTTTCATTTATAGCACAAGCCCTATTTAGTTATAGATTTTTTGCACAAATACCTGTTTACCCATTATCTGGTAAGCCTTATATTTCTCATCTACAGCCGAGTTTGACAAAATAGTAAGTGCTTACTACACATTTGTTAAGTGAATGAGTTGGCTAGTAGAGTCAGTCAGGGAGTGCTTAAAAAATACATATGTGGGGAAAGTCTACCTTGATTTGAAACCTGGCTCTATCACTCATTAGCCTTATGGCTTTAAGTAAGTGACTTTACTATGTTTGGGTTTTCTCATCTGTATATATATCAGGGATGACTGGAACTTATGCCATAACCTTATTGTGATATTAAATGGGGTCATACATGGATAATCTGAACAGTTCCTGGAATATGAGTGGACTATTCTTACTACTCTAAGTTGCTGCCA